TGAGGTAGCTTAAACAATCCAGTAATAAATAACATAAATTCTTCACTTTTGGACTTTAGTGCAACAGTAAATATAAAAAATGTCTAAGATAAAAACAAATAGCACCTCAACTTAAAATAGCCGGCAGGCATGTAAACAAATACAAAAATAAAAGTGCCACAGTGTTTGCAAAGCCAGTAATGTGCTTTTAGGAACTGCTGTCATCACAGTAGTAAGTTTCACAGAAGGAAATGTATGTTTTTCTTAATGAAAACTAACATCTCTACCTTGTCAGGTTTGAGCCTGTTTCTGTTTGCAACAGCACTAAAAAGTCTCTCACTGTCCACAGAGCTGCAGGGGCACTGATGCAACAGCAGCCACAGAGGGAAACTGATTAGCATGTTCTTTCCAGTACTGAAGTGGGTCGCTTTTCTTAGGGTGGTTTTTTTCTGAGAGGTAGGTCTGCACTTGATTTTCTGCTGATGCAGTATGGACCGCCCCCCTGTGACTGCCTCTCTTGTAAGATTTCCTCAAAGGCTGCTACATGCTTCATGATGCGGTGCCTTGCTCACTGGCTCTGCTGCAGCCCTCCTCCCCTCTGTCTTTGCCACCTCCTGGATAAGGTGTTCCTTTGCAAGCAACAGGTTGGCTGACTTTGTGAAAAAGCTAAAAACAGATAAAAGTAACACACAATTCAAAACAATAAGACAAGAAGAGACACCACATAGCACAGCACTTCAGTTAGGAAACTGCCTACACATGTATTCAATTAATAAACAATAAAAACAATCTGACCTTGAAGTTGAATTAAATTTCCCAAAACAAAATTAAAAAGGAAGTAAAAAATAAATTGGCTTAATACTGGTGTCTGGTGATGACTTGACTTTATATAACATGATGTACAAAAGGTGCATTTTAATTTTACTATACTTGCCCATCTTTGTATCTGGGGTCTAGAAGAGTGGCTCAGTTTCAACATCAGCTTCTCCACTGCCTCCAGCAGAGTCCTCTTCAATGTTTTTATTCCCTGGTCTTCATCATCCTCCCGAGACAGAACACGTCTGAGGACTAATGAGTGAATGAATGACTTAATGAATGCATGGGATTATAGTTTGTTTTAAACAACATCAATAAATGTTACAGTATAAAGCAATAAATAAAAATACAAATGAGCTGTTATGGCAGGGATCACATCAGCAGTCTTATTCATCAGCTCCCACTGGTGAGCTGTCAGTGTTGCTGCTGGTGTTTTTGTTGCAGTAGGCTCTGCAGCATGTAGAGGCTGCTGTTCCATCCTGTCTGCACAGAAGAGAACATGATTCACTTTATTTTTGTGCAAATTAGGTGCAGAGCACGTAATGTATTAGTGGCTTACTAAATCAAGTGTATGGGAAATAATAATAATAAAATAGAAATACATTAAAGAATGTTACATGTCACCTGTACATCTTGCTGTAGGCGCTTGATATCCATATTTAGGTCCATCTGTATGTCTTCTAGTCCAGAGTAGGCTGAATGTAGCTGCCTTCTAGTTGTGTTAAATCCCTAGTTTACATATCTCACAGTTTGCTATGGCAATGTTGTTGTCATCAACTTTGTAACACCTCCAGATCGCAGACGTACTCGCGCTTTCCGCTTCAAGCTGCTTACGTGTTCTACTTTGCCGGCATTTAACCAATAGCGTCTCTGCAACAAAGTGATGTCATGCCGCTCGCGCTGCTGTGTTACTCTGTGCCACCGCGTAACTATAGATGTGTTAAATAATGAGAATATATATACATTTATATCCGAGTCCGATCAGGGTTAGGTTAATTTACAAAATAAATGTTGTATTTCAAACAAATTGGACACTTATTAGCTAATTTTACCAAAACTCCCTTCACCGCCATGCATCATGGGAATTCTTGACAAGAAGTGCTTTTCAATTAAAACTTCCCTGATTACATTAATTTGAATTCACTCTCACAACATTTTCAATATTTGGGATTAGATAAATATAATGCTTATGTTTTATTTAACTACAATGGGTGGATTTTATTCCAAACATTTTCATTTGCAATTTAATTAAATATTTGCCTCAAAATCAAAAGCACAATCATATTGAATATATTTTACCTAATACATTACTTCAAATCTACATGACCACAGGATCTTTTGTGTACAGGGAAGCTTTTAATTTCTCTTGTCCCTGATTTGTTTTTCAGCCTTCTCTTGTGAGATTTACTTTATTTTAAAAGAGACCAAGCAGGATGGCTTTCGTACATGTTATGGATCCTAAAGGGGCCCTCTGCAGACTTTTCCCTTTTAAACATGAATGAGGCCCCGTTTTCCCCTGGATCAACATGTGATCTGTATCTAGATAAGGACATCTGATCCACGAGTCTCTGCATTTATATTAAAATGTTTAGTCATTTTCTGGATTGTACCCAGATTATTCTGTCCCACAGTGTTTGCAAAGCCAGTAATGTGCTTTTAGGAACTGCTGTCATCACAGTAGTAAGTTTCACAGAAGGAAATGTATGTTTTTCTTAATGAAAACTAACATCTCTACCTTGTCAGGTTTGAGCCTGTTTCTGTTTGCAACAGCACTAAAAAGTCTCTCACTGTCCACAGAGCTGCAGGGGCACTGATGCAACAGCAGCCACAGAGGGAAACTGATTAGCATGTTCTTTCCAGTACTGAAGTGGGTCGCTTTTCTTAGGGTGGTTTTTTTCTGAGAGGTAGGTCTGCACTTGATTTTCTGCTGATGCAGTACGGACCGCCCCTGTGACTGCCTCTCTTGTAAGATTTCCTCAAAGGCTGCTACATGCTTCATGATGCGGTGCCTTGCTCACTGGCTCTGCTGCAGCCCTCCTCCCCTCTGTCTTTGCCACCTCCTGGATAAGGTGTTCCTTTGCAAGCAACAGGTTGGCTGACTTTGTGAAAAAGCTAAAAACAGATAAAAGTAACACACAATTCAAAACAATAAGACAAGAAGAGACACCACATAGCACAGCACTTCAGTTAGGAAACTGCCTACACATGTATTCAATTAATAAACAATAAAAACAATCTGACCTTGAAGTTGAATTAAATTTCCCAAAACAAAATTAAAAAGGAAGTAAAAAATAAATTGGCTTAATACTGGTGTCTGGTGATGACTTGACTTTATATAACATGATGTACAAAAGGTGCATTTTAATTTTACTATACTTGCCCATCTTTGTATCTGGGGTCTAGAAGAGTGGCTCAGTTTCAACATCAGCTTCTCCACTGCCTCCAGCAGAGTCCTCTTCAATGTTTTTATTCCCTGGTCTTCATCATCCTCCCGAGACAGAACACGTCTGAGGACTAATGAGTGAATGAATGACTTAATGAATGCATGGGATTATAGTTTGTTTTAAACAACATCAATAAATGTTACAGTATAAAGCAATAAATAAAAATACAAATGAGCTGTTATGGCAGGGATCACATCAGCAGTCTTATTCATCAGCTCCCACTGGTGAGCTGTCAGTGTTGCTGCTGGTGTTTTTGTTGCAGTAGGCTCTGCAGCATGTAGAGGCTGCTGTTCCATCCTGTCTGCACAGAAGAGAACATGATTCACTTTATTTTTGTGCAAATTAGGTGCAGAGCACGTAATGTATTAGTGGCTTACTAAATCAAGTGTATGGGAAATAATAATAATAAAATAGAAATACATTAAAGAATGTTACATGTCACCTGTACATCTTGCTGTAGGCGCTTGATATCCATATTTAGGTCCATCTGTATGTCTTCTAGTCCAGAGTAGGCTGAATGTAGCTGCCTTCTAGTTGTGTTAAATCCCTAGTTTACATATCTCACAGTTTGCTATGGCAATGTTGTTGTCATCAACTTTGTAACACCTCCAGATCGCAGACGTACTCGCGCTTTCCGCTTCAAGCTGCTTACGTGTTCTACTTTGCCGGCATTTAACCAATAGCGTCTCTGCAACAAAGTGATGTCATGCCGCTCGCGCTGCTGTGTTACTCTGTGCCACCGCGTAACTATAGATGTGTTAAATAATGAGAATATATATACATTTATATCCGAGTCCGATCAGGGTTAGGTTAATTTACAAAATAAATGTTGTATTTCAAACAAATTGGACACTTATTAGCTAATTTTACCAAAACTCCCTTCACCGCCATGCATCATGGGAATTCTTGACAAGAAGTGCTTTTCAATTAAAACTTCCCTGATTACATTAATTTGAATTCACTCTCACAACATTTTCAATATTTGGGATTAGATAAATATAATGCTTATGTTTTATTTAACTACAATGGGTGGATTTTATTCCAAACATTTTCATTTGCAATTTAATTAAATATTTGCCTCAAAATCAAAAGCACAATCATATTGAATATATTTTACCTAATACATTACTTCAAATCTACATGACCACAGGATCTTTTGTGTACAGGGAAGCTTTTAATTTCTCTTGTCCCTGATTTGTTTTTCAGCCTTCTCTTGTGAGATTTACTTTATTTTAAAAGAGACCAAGCAGGATGGCTTTCGTACATGTTATGGATCCTAAAGGGGCCCTCTGCAGACTTTTCCCTTTTAAACATGAATGAGGCCCCGTTTTCCCCTGGATCAACATGTGATCTGTATCTAGATAAGGACATCTGATCCACGAGTCTCTGCATTTATATTAAAATGTTTAGTCATTTTCTGGATTGTACCCAGATTATTCTGTCCTTTCAAAGGTAGATGTTTTTTGTTTTTTTTTAAATTGAGACTTTGAAGAAGCTTTTTTGAAGATGTTTAAACACTAACGTTTCCTCTAACTGCAGATTTAAACCAGCTAACCTTGATTCTTTCTTGCAGCTGACTGGGATGCAGTAGCCTGTGCAGTAGTCTGAATGACCATCGCTGGCATCTTCACCTGAGGCCAAAATGAACTTGAGTATTTCTCTTTTCAACCCACTTTCTACTTCTCCTCCATCTCACAGGGAGATATTGTACTTTTTAGTGTAGTTATTTTACAAAGTCAGATTTCTAAACACAAAACAATATAAATGTGTTGTTTTTTTATAAATGAAACTACCCAACAGTCAATACAAGTACAGGATTATTACATTGACAGAGACATTAACTGGTAGCTACATTTTTTCATGTGAAAACATTTCATGGTTCCAGCTTTACACGTGTGAATATTTGCTGCTTTTCCTTTTATTTATTAAAATTTATTTGTAATAATGTTGAGCTGTGAACCACCATCATCCCTGTGTGTTCCTCTGGATGTGACAGAGTATCATCAGTGGATCTGGACTGCTCTGCTGCTGCTCTGTCCTTCTACACAGTCTCTGCAGACACACTGAGACTCCTCCACTCCTTCTGCTGCACACTCAGACACCTCCTCCACCTGGACCTCCACCTGGACCTCCACCTGGACCTGGACTTTATTTCATTCAGATGTTCTGAACCCAAAGAGCCTCTGCAGATTAGTTCTGTTTCTGACAACAGAACTGCAGATTAACACTTGTTTAAATCGACTTTTCTGTTTTGCTTTCTGTTGCAGCTTCACCTTGTGGATTGATGGAGAATTGCAGTTAATTTCCACGTTATATTTCTAACATATTTTGGTGGTTGATGTGAAAAAGCAGCATCCAGCCTGCATGCATAAAGTTCCCTCTCTGAAATTCTGCTTATTACCACCAACACCAGACTTTTCTCTCAGTTTAACAGATAATAGTTTGTAACACAGAAACAAAATAATACCATCTGTCAGTTCGTCTGACGTGATGGTATGCAGCATAAATAACACGAGATATAATGATGCATAAAACAAAAATGTTTTCTAGAGTAGAAATCTGGAAGAAAACAAATGCTGCGAGACAACACTTTTGCTAGCAAAACAAAGACGCCATCATGAATTGACCACTGAGTCCTCCTTTACAGCGCAGAAGGTCAGGGGTGGAGGGTTCCCTTCAGTATCCCGTCATGGCAAAGGACGCTCCTGCTGCGCTGTCATGACGTTTGATCTGATGGATCATCAGCAGGGACATCAGCAGGCCCAGCAGCTACAAGGACAGGTAGTCAGTTAGGAAGACATACAGGTGAGTAGAGCAGCTGTCAGACACTGTCCATCAGACCAGAAGTGAAAGACTTTCACACTGGATTGACAGATGATTGGATCATTTTGTACCATTAATAAAACATTTTTAACTATCAGCCATGTTTCTACATGTGAGACGTCAACAACTCGGCAACTCATGTACCAACATTTTCTCAGACATCCCGAGTTGTTGTTCCGACCTTTTCCTTCACGGGAACTTTCCCAGACAGGGAAAAAAAAATCAAATTATTCAGACACTAACTAACTTATGTAGTTCCTGACTACATAAAGATTACTTTACTTTCTTTATTAGCTTTTCCTGGATTACTTGACTCAGGGCATCATCACAACGGTCTAAAACCCACTTGTGACTTACAAAACAATAATTTTGTGCAGCCAAATAAAAAGCTAAAGTAACTAAATTAATATTACGGCCTCGTTGGTACAGTTAGGAACAACACGCTGCACCACAGTTGCTGAAGTGTAATCATCGGCTACAGATCGTTGTTAGCAACAACATCATTTAAAGCTACTGAAATGCATTTTGGGACATGGAGTGGACATCTCCCTTAATGTTTAATGATCATGAATGTTATTCCCTGGAAATTCCTCCTCACAACAGAGGAGAGTAACAGAGGAGCTTACTGCAGTGACAGCAAATCCAAAGCAGAAGCCCAGGCCGATCTTTAAGACAAAGGTGACCGACTCAAAGAGGTGGTCACCGCAGGTCTGCAGAGGAGACGATGGAGAAAGGGGCATTATCTGGAAACATCACTGACTTGTAAACTGGATGGTGTTTTGGTTGGTTGAGTGATTGAATACCTGTTTATAGATGAAGCTTGGGCCTGAGGTTCCCTGCAAGAAAACAAGAGCAAGAAGTACAATGATGTGTGTGTACAGTATATAAATAACATAAACCTGATATTCCAGATTGATTTTAAAAAAACAACCTGAGGTTTGGATTTACAGTCAGATCCTCTCAGTAAGTTACACCCACAGGATGAAGGGATATCATCACCCCAGTCCTCGGCGCTCACCAGTCCACAGCACTTTACCTGCAACCACATTAGGGTGAGTTTTAACAGAAACCTGCGTTGCTGCTGCAGCAGATGACAGGATCACAATAAGGACTGTTGATCCTCCTTTAGGAGTGTGGCCTGTCTTTTTATTGTTGAGCAACATAGCAGCTGTTATTGTGACGTAATATGATCATCAATGCAAAGTGTAAAAATGTGATTAGGCTATATGAAAGTTTCCTGCATACTAAGAGCGACACCTCATCCTAGAATCGTTCGGTCTAACTGGACCAGACTCAGAAGGGTTAATGGTACACAACATTACCTCTTTCTGTAGCTTATTAAGCAGCTCTCTCATTTCCATGTCATACATGAAGGGCTGTACCGCCTGAATGCGGCTTTTCACCTACAAGAAGAGAAAGAACAACATTAGCATCAAGATAACAGAGCATGATAGATGATGACCACAGATGATAAATACAGAAACTGATACAGAGAAAGAACAACGTTAGTGTCAAGAGAACAGAAGGAGACAGTGATGGTAACATATACAGAGAATAACAGAACTGGATCATAAATATTTCTGGACGGACGGACGGACGGACGGACGGACGGACGGACAGATGACCTCGTTCCTTTCAACAGTGAGAATGATGCCAAAGATCGTCATGGTAATAAGTCCATCCCCCATGAAGCCTGCAAACTGTACATGAAACAATATGAACAACATTAATAAGATATCACGACACCTTCTTGTTTTCACAGCTCAACAAAATGATCAAATTAACAAAAAACAGTTGATTCTCCTGAGTTCTTGTGCTACGTACTATTTTGAGGGCGAATGTGTTCTCTTTGCGGCCTGCATAGACCCCCAGACCGGCGATGTAGAGGATGCCGATGGCAAACATCCAAATACAACCCAGGTTGGGGCTCCCAGCCGTCTCCAGCTGCCACGACACAAACACTGATTTAACACTTTAAAATTATAATGCTGCATTAAATTACTGTCGGTGGTGTCAGAGAGGAGGACGCTGTCCAAACTACATGTCATCTTGGACAATGTCTCCCACCCGCTCCGTGACCTGCTGCTCAAACACAGGAGCTCTTTCAGCGCGAGACTCATTCCCCCAGAATGCAGCACAGAGCGCCACAGGAAGTCATTCCTGCCTGTGGCCATCAAACTTTATAACTCCTCCCTCTAAGTGTCACGGACACTTAGTTTTAAACTGGACCTCAGTAAAGCAATCCTGATTCAAATTTTCTTATCGTCAATAATGCCAAATTTTCTGGCATGAAGAGAGATGCTCAGTATTTCTGATGTGATGGTGGAGTGGATAAGACAAGTGTTGGTGTGAGAGACCCGGGTTCAATTCCCACTGTGACCCGTCCACCAATGTGTCCCTGAGCAACACACTTAACCCCTCCTGCTCCAGAGGCGTCTAAATGTAAATATGATAACATTTTCAGAGCCCTCCTGTTTTTCTGCTGCAGAGAAGGTCGACTGTGAGAACAGAAAAACTTCCTGGAGCTGCATCTGTTCTGCATTAAGGAGACACCACAGTCCAAAATGATGATTTTGCAACAATCTGTAAAGTTATTTTGCAGCTATTATTATTAGCATACTTTAATCAAATGTCTAAAACAATCTTGAATAATACATAAATCATTATTATTTGTCTGTTTTATACCAAATCTGTCAACTGCAGATCGAGCATCCATCTTTTTTCCAGGTAAAAGTTTGACTGTTCTTTTTAAAACTCTCCATGTTGAATCAGATATCATTTGAAAGTTTGTTATCTAGAGCACAATGTTAGCTACTTCATTTATCATATCTGTAAAGATGACATGTTTCAGTCATCAATCACCTGATTAACTCTGCACATGCTCAGTTTAGTCCTTATTCCACTAGCTCCCCGTGGCAGCACAGGAAATTTGAGAAGGAACAAAATAATTTTAAGAAAGAAAGTTTGTAGTTTTTTATTATATCATTTCCTGCTTTGTAGTTAAACTCACCAAACTTCACGTTTATTCTGTGTCTCTATCTTCCATGTAAGTTGTTGGTGCTCATGTTTTAGCTGTAAGCTGTATCAACAACCAGAGTCTGGGTTTGTTGTAACAACAAAGAAAAATAAGTTGTATTTATGTTTTCAGTACGTGTCTGACACACACACACACTCATTAATTATGTTAAACAATTTAAGTGTTGAATAAAAAGCTTTCAACATTATATTTCTCTCATGTTCCTTATTACATAATGTTACATTTCCCCCAGAGTAAGTTACAACTAACCCAGACTGTCGGGTGAACTAATATATATATATATATATATATATATAAAAAACCATTTTCTGTCTGTAGATAACAGCAGACACATGTAACTGGCTTAAAAGAGCTCAGAGAGACAGACAGAAATGAAAAATGTCCCATCTTATCTATATACAGTGGGTACGGAAAGTATTCAGACCCCTTTAAATTTTTCACTCTTTGTTTCATTGCAGCCATTTTCCAAAAATCAAAAAAGTTCATTTTATTTCTCAGTAATGTACACTCAGCACCCCATCTTGACAGAAAGAAACAGAAATGTAGAAATTTTTGCAAATTTATTAAAAAAGAAAAACTGAAATATCACATGGTCATAAGTATTCAGACCCTTTGCTCAGTATTGAGTAGAAGCACCCTTTTGTTCTAATACAGCCATGATTCGTTTTGGGAAAGATGCAACAAGTTTTTCACATCTGGATTTGGGTATCCTCTGCCATTCCTCCTTGCAGATCCTCTCCAGTTCTGTCAGGTTGGATGGTAAACGTTGGTGGACAGCCATTTTCAGGTCTCTCCAGAGATGCTCAATTGGGTTTAAGTCAGGGCTCTGGCTGGGCCATTCAAGAACAGCCACGGAGTTGTTGTGAAGCCACTCCTTCGTTATTTTAGCGGTGCGCTTAGGGTCATTGTCTTGTTGGAAGGTAAACCTTCGGCCCAGTCTGAGGTCCAGAGCACTCTAGAAAAGGTTTTCTTCCAGGATATCCCTGTACTTGGCCGCATTCATCTTTCCCTCGATTGCAACCGGTCGTCCTGTCCCTGCAGCTGAAAAACACCCCCACAGCATGATGCTGCCACCACCATGCTTCACTGTTGAGACTGTATTGGACAGGTGATGAGCAGTGCCTGGTTTTCTCCACACATACCGCTTAGAATTAAGGCCAAAAAGTTCTATCTTGGTCTCATCAGACCAGAGGATCTTATTTATCACCATCTTGGAGTCCTTCAGGTGTTTTTTAGCAAACTCCATGCAGGCTTTCATGTGTCTTGCACTGAGGAGAGGCTTCCGTCGGGCCACTCTGCCATAAAGCCCCGACTGGTGGATTGCTGCAGTGATGGTTGACTTACTACAACTTTCTCCCATCTCCCGACTGCATCTCTGGAGCTCAGCCACAGTGACCTTTGGGTTCTTCTTTACCTCTCTCACCAAGGCTCTTCTCCCCCGATAGCTCAGTTTGGCCGGACGGCCAGCTCTAGGAAGGGTTCTGGTCGTCCCAAACGTCTTCCATTTGAGGATTATGGAGGCCACTGTGCTCTTAGGAACCTTAAGTGCAGCAGAAATTTTTTTGTAACCTTGGCCAGATCTGTGCCTTGCCACAATTCTGTCTCTGAGCTCTTCAGGCAGTTCCTTTGACCTCATGATTCTCATTTGCTCTGACATGCACTGTGAGCTGTAAGGTCTTATATAGACAGGTGTGTGGCTTTCCTAATCAAGTCCAATCAGTATAATCAAACACAGCTGGACTCAAATGAAGGTGTAAAACCATCTCAAGGATGATCAGAAGAAATAGACAGCACCTGAGTTAAATATGAGTGTCACGGCAAAGGGTCTGAATACTTATGACCATGTGATATTTCAGTTTTTCTTTTTTAATAAATTTGCAAAAATTTCTAAATTTCTGTTTTTTCTGTCAAGATGGGGTGCTGAGTGTACATTACTGAGAAATAAAATGAACTTTTTTGATTTTTGGAAAATGGCTGCAATGAAACAAAGAGTGAAAAATTTAAAGGGGTCTGAATACTTTCCGTACCCACTGTACATGTGATGTCCTGATTTAAAACAAACAGCTGTGTTTTTCACACACACAAACTAGCTGCTTTTGTTTTAATTTTCAGCCTTGAATTATCAGAGACTTTCTGCCATAACCAGGTCTGAGCGTAGTATTTATGCTGCTGGCTGTCAGTGGCAATGCAAGGTTATTTAAACTGCCGTAAAATCAATGATTAAAACATTTATTAGAGCGATTTTATTTTTTGAGTCATCAACACAACAAACCCTGTAAAGCCTCTCTGTATTTCCCCAAACTGACACTTAATTATTTAATTGTTCACATTATGAATCACGTTACAGTAAATCTGCTGCTCGTTCTGCTAACAGACATCCTGCAATGAGAAGTTGTAAATTCATGTTTGGCAGCGACCGCTGACCCAACAAAGAAAGTGAACAGGGAAGGAATTCATCAGGCAGCTCACAGCACACATTTAGGATTTCATGACCTGGTAGATAAACAACTCCATGTCTGGTTTAGCTTCTGTCCACATCATTTATAGTCTTTCCCGATGCTTGTTCTTCTGACATGCAATAGAAATAAACATATTTTGATGTTCCTATGCCAAGAAAAGGTTTTATAGTGGGAGGAGTTTGTTGTCCTGTGTTGCCACATCTAGGTAAGAATCACTTGTGGAACGATCCTCCGGCGTCTTTTAAAAGCGGTTCATGGTTAAATGCTGAGCTCATTTGACAAACATTATTTGGTCTTAAAACCATCGTGCAATTAGTTAAACAGTCAAGATTTTCCTTCTGCATTCTGTTCTGCAGTTTGCTGCCACAGAGTGGAACATGAAGTTCAGTTGTTGTTGTTTACCTTGTGTCTATGGGGGGTGGCCCTCAGCAGCCCGATGATCATCATACATCCGATGACCTGAGGAAACATCACATTATTTAGTTTAAAGAGTCTAAACAATGTCAGAGGAGAAAGAATCAACAGAAAACCAGAAGTCAGATTACTAAAAGGAATAAAAAAACTGAAATCTATGTAAACACTGCTGGCAAAGCTGTGACAAACCCACATAACTGTATTTCAAATTCTAGCGAGGATCTCAAAGTTTCCAACAATACGACTGCATTCGTATAAAATGATGCACAAGACTTATTTATTTATTTAATATTTCAACTGTAAATAAAACATCTTATACTGGCCTTGAACATTTCCCTCAGTGTAAATATTGTAAAAATAGCTGGAACAAGCGAATACACAATATAAATTACAAGTTAAAACACTTAAAGGAGTCATTTGCCGCGTTTCGACCAGGGAACTTTACCCCGGAACTAGGAACCTTTGGAGGAACTCACTGCGTTTCCACCGGAGGGACCAGGGTTTAAACTTAGTTCTAGGCTCCTTATTTTACCCCCAAAGAGTCCCTGCTCGGGGGGTAGTACTTTCCGAAAGTACCGGTACTTTGGGGGGGTGAATTTCTGAATGGGCTACTGGCTTTAACTGGAGAATGTCGGCTGTTTTTCTACGACTGCTCGTCTCTTTTCCACCTTTGTTTGCAAACCAATAAATCACCACCAGCAGTCAGAGAGCCTCACAAGATGTCGCCTGATATCAAATGTCTGCATTAAATGTATAGCTGGGAAAAAGAAGCCAGCGCACAGCGGTGTGTTTACAGCTAAATACTGGGTCAGAAGTTGTTGTTTTGAGTTTTCATCAGTCAGGAAGTTCTTACACAGAGCTGAAGTCGGTCTCTCCAAAACAAGCGGAACAGCTGATTACAGCAGGTGATAAAGCTCATTAAAAATCCTGTTCCCCGTTCGCTCAGGTGACAGACGTGATGCTGCAGCTCTTGTTGCTGGATAACCTTCCAAACTGTCCCGGTTTCATTCCTCTGTTGCTTTCTCTGTGCTGGAGTTATTTTAAGAACTCATTTATAAATGTTGCTCAGGGCTAGTGGTTACAAATAATGATGCCGGTGCGTCGCTGTGTACGGCCAGGCCTACAGCCTACAGCCTACGCCAGCTGGTTAATTTGCCTAATCTTCGCAGGTCTTTAGACCACGGTGGAAACAAACACAACAGTGGGCTGAAGGAACCTTTTAGCTCCTTGAAAAGAGGTCTGGGGACTAAAAAGTCCCGGGAACTTTTGGTCAAAACGCGACTATTGTGAGGAGAAAGTGGGACATGACAGAAAAAGTTGAAGAACTGCTAGAAAGAAAGCTCTGAGGAAATTCAAGGGAAAAGCCAAGACTTAAAATTTAAAATGATTAATCAACACATTTATTGATCTTATGATGATATTAAAGTTAAAGCATCTTTGACGTCAGTGATGTGAGCACACGGAACATGTGGCAGAGTTTAGATACAAGGGATTAAAATCAAATCCATGATATTAGATTGGACTGTGACAGGATGTGGTTCACCTGCAGGAGGAAGCGGAGAAGTTTTAAGTGTATTAATTACCCTCCACCCACATTTAATGGAAACACACAGTTTTCACACCTTCTAATGCTCTGCTAACAGCCCACAAACTAACAAGTACTATTTCATATGATGATACAATGAGTCATTAAAAACACTTTTACATTTTATAGGCAAGGCAAGTTTATTTGTGCAGCACATTTCAACGACATTTTAAGTGCTTTACATAAAACATAAAAGCAACACAGTAATATAAATAAAAGTCATTTAAATAAAATAATTTAAATTAGTCAAATTGAAAATAAAAATAGGATTAAACAGGACAGTAAAGCTACAGTGCAGTTTAAGTTATTAATCTACAGCCTTACATGTGATTTAATTACAGGCTGTGGTAAAAAGAAAAGTCTTCAGTCTTAATTTAAAAGAACTGACTGTTTCAGCAGACCTGCAGTTATCTGGGAGTTTGTTCCAGATATACGGAGCATAATAACTGAACGCTGCTTCTCCTTGTTTAGTTTTGACTCTGGGCACAGAAAGCAGACCTGATCCCAGACGACCTGAGAGGTCTGGATGGTTCATAACGAAGCAGAAGATCAGAAATGTATTTTGGCCCTGAACCATTTAGTGCTTTATAAACTAACAGCAGGATTTTGAAATCAGTTCTTTGACATACAGGAAGCCAAAGTAAAGACCTCAGAACTGGGGCGAGTTCAGAGCCGACGTTTTTTCCAATGGAAACCTGGTTCCCCGAACACCCTGTTGTGTTTGTTTCCACCGTGGTCTAAAGACCTGCGAAGATTAGGCAAATTAACCCGCAGTCGCCCCTGGACTGAAGTGATCCACTTTTTTGTGCTGTGACTCAATTTGCATACTTACACTTACTGTTTTGAGGGCATAAGAGCGTTCTTTAATCCTTGATATATTTGTAGCCCGGGCTAAAATACATTTGCAGTAAAATATACATAGTTTATTAAATGAGAGATAACACATAAATACTATAAAATACACGAGTCATTAAAACAGAAAACGTTAAGAATGTCTTTTTAAAAAAGTCTGGAGGTTTTATTCAAAAGTTAAAATGTTTAAATAAGGTTTAAGAATGTTAAAAAGGTTGGAGGTTGCAGTTCAAAAGTTAAAATGTTTAAATAAGGTTTAAGAATGTTAAAAAGGTTGGAGGTTGCAGTTCATTTGAGTGTGTATAGTTTGTATGATGTGTACAGGAGACAGCACATGTGAGAAGTATGACAACCTAAGTCGATGAGCAGTTGACATGTCAATCGTTGTTTTCTGTACCCTGATTGGAACAACCAATCCAAGTTCATTCCCAAGTACAGGGGTGGGACTTAACGGTAGCTGACTCAGATCCCAGACACCTGAGAGCAAGAGAAACGCGTTCACGCAGTTGATGTAAACAGCAGAAATTGTACGAGAGCAATTTGTTCCTAACCGGTGATCGTGGCACCCGAGCCACGATCCAGGCCTGCAACGAGGTCTTGCTTAATTTCAGAGTTGTAAAGACGTGTGAGAGTGTGGGTCCACAGCACAGTGGTGGTTATATAGAGTCCAATAAAACAAGACATGTAAGGGTTTACAAGAGACTTACTAACGAGGGTTTGGGGTTTATTTTCTGAGTATGTTGGTATTTCAATTTGGCTATATTTTGTAAAGGTATTACTTTAAGTTATTTTCAGTTAAAGGGGAATTTTCAGTTTTAATTTTTTCGATCCTGCTGCCCATCCACAGATCACATTCAACAATATTAACATCAGTGATATCAGTGCGAACTTACATTAAGGAACGTGGTTAGAACAACTTCACTAGGCGCTACACAAACAGTGAAGGGCAGAAAGTATTTATTTTTTAAAGGCTTAACTAATACAACTTCTGAATACAACAGGAACCCTGCAGAGTCCTGCTCGGCCATGGGTTGGTCCAGCTGCATGTCACGCCTCTTTTAAACGCCACGGCGGCTGAAAAGACTTCTGCAAAGGATCCATCGGTGTATCCTCGCTTATAGCTCCTCCAGCAAGCCTCCTCCATCCTCGAGGTGCCTTTGAGGAATTGAGATGTCCTTCAAGATGGCGCGCTGGATTTCCAGGTCACAGGTTCGAGGATCGTGGATCGAGGACGTACAGATTTGGGAAATGAGAAAGGCTCTTTATCTCCTGGTAGAGTTTCTGTCATTTCTGCACAGAGGCAGCAGAGGGAGACGGAGCAACAGTGACCTTCTGTCACACCGATCATTTCAACTGAAGGCTGCTGCAAACACTCATCATACAAACATCTCAGCCTGGAAGCATTTTTACCAGATGTGTGCACGTATTGTTTTCATGTTATTGAGTATCTAATCTAAATGAATCTAATCAAATATACGTAATCTAATCTAAGATCTTCTAATCTACATTATCTAATGTAAGAGTTGTGCCAAACATAATATTTCTGTTTCAATATATCTATAAAAATAAAATACACAATAAACATAAGCTCGACAGTCGAAACCCCTCCTGTTCCTCAAACTTCTCCCTCTTTATAGCGCTTCTCTATTTTTCCCATTAACGCCTGAAGTAAAAAAAATACCTGTGTAACAGAAAGGAGTGGGGGGGGGACCGTCACTTCCTGTAGCAGGAAGTGACGGTTTTCTGAACAATAAAACAATCTGTACCTGCAAGACTGAAACTTGACACTTCACTGCTTGTTTGATGTTTATCACTTTAAATTTAATAGTAATCAAACAGCAGGACCAGTTTTAATGTTGTTTTGAAACATGTAACTTTTTTAGAGTTCAGACGTTATTTATTATCAAGTATCTATTTGTTCTCTTTGTTCTTAGTAAATCTGTTTTGTGTTCTTTTGAGCATATTAAACTTTTGTTTTTGGAATTTTTTTTTTTAAATCAGTCAATTAGCCTTTTTTCACCTGGACCATAAAAACCTCTTTGTGAACTTATCAAATTAACAAAAACCAAACTTCTTTCTTGGAGGATTTTTCCTGCTAGTTTGCATCTTTTATCTTTTGCTCCAAACACAAATACTAAACTGATGAAAAATAACTTCTAACCAGGGTGCGACTGATACAAAAGAAAACCCATTACAGCGCAGGCGGGGGCTTCAGTAAACTAAAATCTTACAATGTTTACAGTATTCATGCTTATTTAACTAATGTGTGCAGTCTGTAGATGATAAATCAGTTTTATTAGGCCCACACCAGTTCACGCGTGCCCATACTACACAACATCTTTTATAGTCAGAGGTCACCAAGTATTCTAGAGAGAAACTGCCAGAAAGTCGGACACACAACAGCGGACCATCAGGTCCACTCAAAACAGACCCACACACCCAGAACCAAACACGATCATAAAATACAGTCTGCATTATCATCTCTAATTTAACTTTTTTTTTAGGAAACAGCTCCTTTCCTCGTGCCCATGTTGACTGTAAATCAAATGTAAGCTGCGTTCAATAAAACAGTTGTCATACATTGTTGGGGAATTGGGATTTTTTGCGTCTCTGTAAATAATTTTAAACAGAGTACTGCCTAGACCTGCTCAATGAGTTGGCTTTGTAGTGAATTGGCGTTATAAATAAAACTGAATACATCTAAAATAACACACCTGAATTTTAACATTTACCTAGCCTGGAGAAACTCCTGAATTCCACAGTGAAAACAAATATCATGCTTATTGTAGAAAGACTCACAAAATACTTTAAATGAAATAATAATCTCGATATTAAGAATTACATAAAACATTAAATGATATAGTCTAGTGGTAAAGAAATGACAGGGTGGGTATCATATCAGCTAGCAAACATCATATAGCTCATTTAAGGTAAAATAAATGCTAATTATGAAACTCTGAAGGTAGGAAAGTTAAGTGCATTATAGCAGCTAGACAGCTGACTGACATTAACCTGCAGCGTCTCCACCAGCGTGTGGTGCACTGGACTGGAGCAGCTGCGCTGCGAGTGATGTGGGCAGACAAGACGGTAAATTAACGTCAAAGTTAGGAAATGGTAGGTCCATTGTAGGAATGTCAGAAATAATACCTCAAGATTCTTCAATATAAGGCACGAGTATGGGAAATATATTGTAATATTTACAATGACAGGTGAGAAACCCCTGAACTGTTGATTTTGCCTCTTTTGGGGGGGTCGAAGCCTTAATTAGGGGGTCAAACCCCCCCAATCCCCACCGTAATTCAAACCATGCTTCTAACTAATAAAAGTTTCTACTTACTGCAAACAGCCCATTGAAGAAGAGAAAGAGGCTTCTGATGTGTTTGTAAATTTTTCCCATTTCCAGTTTTTGGTGGTTCTGAGAGATGAAGAAGTGAAGCTGTAACGCTGTGTGATGATGTGCAGCTCTGTGATCTCTGATGGAGCTCCGTGGCTCAGAGGAAGAAGAGACATCAGGCTTTCATACGCTGGATTTTCTCTTTTCTGATGAGTTTAGGCAGCTAAAACTACTTTGTTCAGTTTGGGGAAAGGCTGTAGTGTTGGTTAAAAGACATGAACCCCAGTCTCAGGCGTCTTTCACCCTCTTGAAGGGGTTCTGCAGTGCTAAAACAACCTTACTCTACTTGTGTCTTCGCTTCTGAGAGAGGACAGTCGCTGTTCACACGGTGAAGTCGGTTTGAGTTTCGATAACTGAAACTTCTTGTTTAGAGAGAGGTACAGCCTGTGGTCGTGGTTAAAAAAACCAATGTACGGTGTTGGTGTACTGAACCTTTGAGTTGACGCGAACATTTAATCTAACAATCAAAAGGAGCAAAGAATACACAGGTGTAGTAAAAATACATCAAGTAGAACAATGAGGAGCAAATGCTGCATCACTATATTTTATTTTCTCTTGAAGGAAAGAGAAATGGTTGAGCTGAATCCTGCAGCATTTTTTATTGGCTGTATCGGTTTATTGGTGAATGTATGAACACTGACTTTTAAATAAACGTATTTCACAGTATGAATGATTGTAAGGAGGCTGCTTCGTACAGCCTGTCTGTAGATGAAGAGATGCTGAGTTTCCCCAAAGGAACAACAAGCTGCATCTTATCTTCTGATGGTTTAAAGGTGCAGAGCAGAGTGAGACCGAACCTTTCCATCGCTTTAATGTCACAGATCTTTAGATGTCATTTACATGGAGTCATGACAGAACGTTAAAACCAGGGTCACATTTTAGATTGTTGACTTGTTGTTGGTGAGAAGTCGTGTTTAAGGCTTCCTGCTAAACTAAACGCTTATTTTCAGTCCAAACATTGGATGATTTTATGAGGAAAATGCAAAAGGAGTGACCACAATACACCAGAGGAGAGAAAAGAGGAGGAAGAAGGAGAAAGAAAGAGAAAGAAAGGAGCTCAGAGCATCAAGCTGAAACAAACAAAGAGAAAACTAAAGCAAAGAAGAGGACAGGGAGACTCAAGCAAGTAACAGCAAACTACAGTGCTAAAACAACCTTACTCTACTTGTGTCTTCGCTTCTGAGAGAGGACAGTCGCTGTTCACACGGACACCAGATGTTGCCTGTCAGGTCACATGACAGATGTTTCTCTGGAGAGGTGGGCAGTAGTAGTTAGGAGACAGTAAGCTGCTGCACGCGCGTGACAGACGTGCATAAGGTGTGTGTGGTTCATCCTGCACCCTGTTCTGTGTTTTCAGCTCCAGCTCCTGGTGGTTTCTTGTCTTGTGTTCGGTCTCCCTGTTGGATGTTCTGTTTTTATAGTCCGAGCCCTGTCTTACTTCGTCACCTCTGCCTGTTTGATTGAGGATCTGTCTGCGTGTCTTTATGATTATTTTGGTATATTCGTTATTTGAATCTGTTACAGCTCAGTTTCATGGTCTGTTCAGTGTTCTTCTTATCCTGTTTTGATCCTGGTCTTATAGTAAAGGGCCATAGACTCACATTAGGGGTGTGAAGAGACACTTCACCCCTTTTCCACCGCACAGTCCCAGCTCGACTCGACTCGCCTTTGTTTGGTTTTCCATTGTGGAGAAGTTGGACCTGTACCTGCTACCAGATACTTTTTTTCGTATCACCTCCGTCGAGGTTCTAAGCGAGCTGAGGCGATACTAAAATGTGACGTGAAAACACAGCAGACTGCTGATTGGTCAGAGAGAATCATCACTTTCTGCATCATCATTGCGCTCGCCTGACAGAGGCCAGCAACAGGAAGTTTTATATTTTACAGTTTTCACACGTTATTTCATCACTAAATCACTCCTGAAAAGTTTTGAGGAGAAATCAGCTGTGTAGATTTCAAATATTGACAGTTGTACAAAAAGTGATGGCTGGTGTGTGTGTCGCATTGAACATTACGTCACGGCAGTTGTGTGTGGCATTACTGTCATGACCAGCTACATTCTCTGCGTACGATCTGCAATTGAAAATGGAGCTTGTCCAAACCGAGTCGAGTAGAGTCGAGGCGAGTTGAGTTGGTTCTGGTAAAGGAAAACGGGCTTTAGCTTGCGATACGCCATTTTAGGTTCACAAGAACAAGACGAAAAGATGTTTAAAGATGTCCTAAACGCGGAGCTACATGTGGGGGTCTGGGGGAACTCCTGCAGGAAATTTTGATCAGTAAACACTTTCCTGTATTCTGGATCAATTTATGGTGGAAATGGTTTTATTTATGTAAAAGGAAATTCAAAACCTACGCGTACCCCCTCTGACGATTTTTTCATCACGCGGACCCTCACGGACCTTCGCGGACGTGGAGAGCATAGTTCTTGCTTCAGACTGACTCTTCAGATTTAGTCCTACAGTAACATGGTGAGTTCTGTAACGGCGCCTTCTCTTGGCCAGATCTCCGTTTGTAAAATAATACTTTCTTTTTTTCTTTATACTTTCACACTAAGGGCCACCTAGTTCAATAATGTTTTAGTTTTTTAAAGAAAATTTAGGGATCGTCCCTTGAATTAAAAGAAAGTTCTGTGACTTTTGGGTTGATTTTTAATAGGTTTAGAAAACAGAGCTGAAGGTGAGTATGAAAGTTTCAGACTGAGTGCTCAGTGGTTGGGTTGAAGGAGGGTTTTTTATGTGGTTTTCACACACAGAAACTGGTGGAAAAAAGAAAGCGGTCACCTCAAGTTTCTCCCCCCTCCTCCCCCCCAACACCAGCAGTCTGCAGTCTAAAGGTTGGAAATCAAACAACTTGTGTGCTGCTGATGAAAATCCTTTTGTTCTCATTTTATTTGCATCTTTGTTGTTGTTTATTTTTATAAACAACAATATTTATTTAACAATATTTTCATATATGTTATGAATCCTTTAATTAAAATCAACTTTATTTATTTATGTTATATTAAGTCTGTGTTCTGGTCAGTACTGTGTTTTAAAAGCACTCTGCATCACAGTAGCTGCAAAAACAGTGAAAATGAATATTCTAAACAGTCAGACAGACAGTTTGTAATATGTTGGCAGTTTACACCTACAAACAGAAAAGCCACAAAAAACAGGAAGAAGAACTGTGAGCGCTAACTGCCTCTGAGACCTGAGAATGATTAACTGGGTCATTTTATGGAACTCGGCCAAAAGAGAAAATCCCTCAATGTTGTTTAAAACTAAATAAATCATTTAAGAAAATAAAACAAATCTAATCTTGGAAATCAAGTATGAGCTGAAATAAAAATCTTAAGTTACGTAATGTTTACATTGACTTTGTGTTTGATACTTCAGTTACTTTCAGCCAGGTTTTAAGTGTATATATGTAGATACACTCACGGCCACTTTATTAGGTCCTCCTTGCTAGAAACGGGTTGGACACCCTGTTTGCCATAAAGGGATGGACATGTTCAGCAACAATACTCAGGGAAGCTGTCGCCTTTAAACGAGGGGCCCAAAGTGTGCCAAGAAAATTTCCCCCACACCATTACACCACCACCAGGCTGAACCGTTTATACAAGGCAGGATGGATCCATGCTTTCATTTTGTTAACGCCAAATTCTGACCCGACCATCTGAATGCTTTTTGTTTGGTGAGTCTGTGTGAACTGTAGTCTCAGTTTCCTGTTCTTAGCTGACAGGAGTGGCCCCCGGTGTGGTCTCCTGCTGCTGGAGCCCATCTGCTTGAAGGTTGGGCGTGTTGTGCGTTCAGAGATGGTGTTCTGCACGCCTTGGTTGTAACGAGTGGTTATTTGAGTGACTGTTGCCTTTCTGTCATCTGGAACCAGTCTGTCCATTCTCCTCTGACCTCCGACATCAACAAGACCTTTTCGTCCACACAACTGCTCACTCGATATTTTCTTTTTCAGACCGTTCTCTGTAAACCCTACAGATGGTTGTGGTGAAAATCCCATCATCAGCAGTTTCTGAAATACTCAGACCGGCCCGTCTGGCACCAACAACCATGTCACGTTCAAAGTCACTTAAATCCCCTTTCTTCCCTGTTTTAAGGTCGCTTTGACGTCTACATGCCTAAATGCTGTGAGTTGCTGCCATGTGATTGGCTGATTAGCTATTCATGTTAACAATCAATTGAACAGGTGTACATAATATAGTGGCCGGTCAGTGTGTATCTTGTTGTTTATCTGTCGTTAGTTTTTGTGAAAATGACTTTCTGGTCAGTTATTGTGTCGTCATGACACAGCCTTAATTCAGGCCCTGCCCATAATGCCAGAAAAAGCTTTAGGTGCTTTGGAGGCCTGTCTACCAAAACTAAATTAAAAGCAAAGGCAAGGTGTCAAAACAGACGTGTTGGGCAGTAAGTAAAAATGCAAATTTTTAAAAAAGTTGTGTGTTATTTCATCAGCGAAGTTAAAATGAAAGTCCAGATTTTTAACATACTAAATATAGACGAGACACAATACAAGATCTGGCCTTTACAGTCTTATTGTCACCTGCCTCTTCCTTGGAGTAATATTTAATCCTATTTCAGCTTGGTCCTTCTGTATGATGGGCTGTTTTTACAAATTTACTACTGGTGTAAACTTAGTCTCCATAACTTTTATCGATTCCTTATTTTAACTATGTTTTGGTTCCATGGATGGAAGAAGCCAGCTTGTGCTAAAAAGAAACGATAAGTGGTATTCTCTAAAGAAAAAAAAAGCACAATGACAGAAAATGACCATTGATCATATTCAGTACAACATACAGTAATGTTGGTTCTATGATAATCTAAATAAAAGAGGTTGCGAATCATTTTCTTACTTTTCACTCATTCATTGCCTTTAAAATCAAAGTCTTTTGTACAGTACAGATGTGTGTAACAATGCAGTGGCACTGCCTTTGTTCATTTCAGGTGCTCAAACGTGAGACTGTAGGGTGTCAAATACGTGGGTTGCAGATGTTAATACTCATCTGCGCCCCACTTCCCAATGAGACATCTTGGAGAAGATGCAGAGGGCTTCTGAATTATTTGACTAAGGGTAAAGCTTGATTTATACTCCTGCGTAGGGTCTATGCCGTGCATTATACTTGTGTGTCGGTGTCTCCGTCATTCTGCAATTACACTGCCGAAGTTAGCGCTACAGCGTCCACTGTGTTGACTTTTACTGGGCCGAGCAGGCTAACTTCCGGTTTAGCCCTCCGCTAACGTGATTGGGGGTAAAATTGTATACGAGCGGCTGGTGTAGCCTTTTCAGATGTTATTGACCGAATGGATCAAATATATTGATTCACCGTGTTACAGCCGCTAGTAAAAGTTACTTCGTACACTGAGCCCACATGTTCATCAGAAACTAACATTCACACACATTCATACATGGAACAGCCATCGGGGGCATTTAGGGTTGAACCGCTACCTTCCGATTAGTGGACAACCCGCTCTACCCCCTGAGCCACACAGCTGTCAGTAAGAGCTGTGATTTTAAAGTTAAAGTGGTAAATATTTAATTATAACATTACTTGTCATAATGTTAATAAGCTAGCGTTGGATTCATATTAGATTGCACATGATTAGAGCAATGTAGCATAGCCATGTCTGTTAAAGGCTTAAAATTACGTTAACGATTGTAATTCCCCCACACCGCACCGATGTAATGTTACAATGAACAACGCAGTGCGATTTTATCGTCT